CTTGACACGGAACGAAGGGGGGGGCGGAGGATGCGCCGCGTTTGGTTGAGGCGAGAGGGACGGCTGCGGCTTCTGCGCACGCGCCTCCAGCGCCGCGGCCAATCGGCGTAAGGAAGCGCCCGGCAGCTGCGGGCGGGGGAGCCGCTGACGTCGCCACGTGAGAATGCGGAGGCCGGGCGGGGGGTGGGAGGGCGAGCGTTGGGTTTGGTTGAGCCTTGGGCGGAGGGGGCGGGCCGAGGCGGTGCGGCGCGTGCGCACTGAGCCGCCCGGCCCCTCGGGGCGGGGCGCGGCTCTGCGTGCGCGTGCCCGGCGCGGAGGGCGCGTGCGCAGGGGCACCTTCGCCTCCACCCCCCCCTTCCTGTTCCTCGGCGGCCGTTAACGGTCGGGTTGCTGTGGTGTTGGGGGTGGGGGTTTTGACCGTTGGCCCGTTGGGGCAGAAAATGGGGCGTCATCAGCACCCCTGGAGCGGCCCCCACTCCCGGGTGGTGTCCAGCCCTGCAGGGGAAGCGGCCTAGCCTGTTAGGCCGGCCTAGGGGATGAGTAAGGCCCTGCCCAGCTGCCCACTAGAAAGGGAGCTGTGTCTGCACTGTCCTCGCAAGTGACGCGAGAAGATAATGTCGGTGCTGTCGTTCATCTTGAGGGCAGCGTGGTAGCTCKTTGAATGGAGCATGAATCCATCAGGGATGCCCGGCTGCGTCTCGGCAAGAGCTTTGTAGCTGCTTTCCCGGCTCCTAGTGAAGCCTAGGGTATGTTCTCTATGAAGGCAGACTGCACAGGCTAGGACGTGCAGCTTGTCATCGCTAGCTTGGGGTAGCGTAGTGAAAACTAGCCCGCAGAGAGCCTACACCAGTGTTTTAAACCCCACCTCAAAAAAAGTTACCGTGACTTCAAAATGAATTGTTTGAAATTTTAATTCAGGACATTTTGAAAAGCAGCCTAGAACTGTCATAAGTAATTAACTGAAACCTCATTTATGAAGAATTACTTTGATCTGTTGATTAGCTGTCAGAAGGAGGTGTGTCTGCCGCTAAGATGCGAGCTCCAACCAGCATTACCCATCAAATACGCATAGGTACTGATGTTTATATTCTGATTTATTTAGTATCATTTTATGCTTTGTGATGCYTTCTCTGGGAAGGATTATATATGTGTTGATATGTTAATAAAGGCATTCAAGTGATCCTGAACTTTGGAGTGCTTGACAGTCTCTTGTCTTTGCCATTATTTATTAATTTAGTTATTATTTATTTAGTGTCTTCTATCCATGTTTCTCAGCTTCTTAAAAAACTAGATTAGGATTCTGTGGCATTACAGAAAGAGGTCAAGTAGCTACATATTTCTCTGTGAGGCTTTTGTAGTAGTACGCAGCTGAATCGGTGCAGTCAAGTGCTCTGCATTCCTGAGTAGCTCGACGCAGTTCCCTTTATGTGCCTGTCATGCTGTGCTACCTGCATTTCCCTTTCTTCTTGTCACTGGCACTGTACACTTAAGAGGATTTCATCTAATACTACAGAAAATGCTGYGTGATTGATGCCGCTTTCTATTTTGTGACAGGTATAATTGTTGAAGTAGGGAGCACATTCAGCAGCTAAGTCTCAGGGTAGCTAAGGAGGGAAGGATATTTATGCTCCTGATGCCAAAGCTTTGCCTTCCTTTGCATTTCTGTCCATTGCTGCCCTGGAAGCTCACGTACCTCTGCACTGCACYACGCCATGACTTGCAGGCTCAGCGCTGGTCCGATAAGCAACAAACCAGACCCTGTTTCCTTCAACTTTTATAGCAGGTAAGCTAATAATGGCCACTCAGCACTGTGCTGTGTCGCACTCTAAGAGAACGTTTCAGATTTCAGCTCCTTCTGAAATATTTCATTGCATTGTTGTGGGTAACAGTTAGCATCAGGCCGAAGAATGGGAACCTGATGCCTTTTTGCCACTTTTAGCTCCTGCGTCACTTGTCYGTGCAAACCCAATACTGTAAAGCTGGAACAACCAACTCTGGATTAGAAACTTAATACCTGATGGGAGCAGAGCACCAGGAAACGTTTCAACTGTTAAATCTGGAACAGCCTCAGCGGAAACCATGGAAAATAACAGCAACATTTTAGGCCTCCGAAGGCTCGGATGCAGAGTTCTGTAAAGATATGCCCCAGTTGGCACTTTAAAGGAAACATTAGTTATGCAGTTACGCTTGGATTCTCCATCTGCTTCTAGGTTTACGTGAAATTGTCCAAACGTGCTGCTCCGTGGCATCTGTAGCTCTCTAAATGCACTGCCTTAGCCTATATGGCYGAGATGGTTGCCGTGTAAAATGTTAGATGGGGAGAAAGCTCCACATTGCTGTTCTTTCCTCCAGTCACTTGCCTCATTCTTGCTCCTTCCCACCTACCCATCTCTGTTATGTGAAATGGAGGTGACAGCGCTGCGCAGTGCTTCAATACTTGCAGATCACAAAGATCACAAGCAGAGCTCCTCTTTTCACAGCTCTGCTCAAAGAAACTGGAGAAGGAGCCCTCWGGAAAGCATGGCTGCTGCGCAGAGCAGCTTGGGGGGACATGAGTATCAAGACATGAGGGGGAATCCGTGCCACAGCATGGGCCACCTTAAAACTAACCTTTYAAGCATAGAATCCATATAATAATAAAGCTCCTGGGGAGCCTGCAGTGTAGGGCTGAAGGGGCTGAGGGAAAGGTTGAAACCTAGTTTCCTGCAGCTGGCTGAGGAAAAGGTTGAAACGATGTCAATAGACACGTGACGTCTCTGCCTGCATGCAAAGAGTTTATACCAGCAAATGTTACAAATTTCCACACTGAAAAGAAGATGTGATAGACACTGCAGTAAGAGATAATAAATTCTGATTTCTGTTTTTTTTTTCTTACCTTAGGAAAAAATAGTTGGCAACATACTCACCTGCATTTAATATAGCAACTGCTGCAGTGGAGAATAAGCATAAAGATTCATCACTTCAKGTGTCCTGGTGCTGACAGACCGCTGTGAAAGTGAGTCCTCAATGTCCCATGTTCTCAATTTCCCATTTCACTGGGGTGGTGAAGGCTTTTTGCTAATGTTTCAGTGGCATTAGGCTGGTTTAGGGCTATCACAGGGCTTGTGTAGCTAGCTGGCTACAGATGTGGGTAAGAGAGATAAGCTGCTTCAGTAACTCTTGAGATTCTTCTTAAGCTTTTCACTTAATACRAAGGAACTTTGTTTTAGAAAGGCCTCAATGCTGCATGTGACATTTGACTGTTTACAAAAAAACAAAATCTCTTCATTGGCTCTTGGTCCTGACAGGATACACAGAAAAGCATCTGGAAATTCATTATTTATGCTTAAGTATTTTCTCCTTTTTTTACCCCATTCTCCTTAATGGAATACATTAATGATTTTGCAAGAAAACATTTCAATTCCAAAGAACAAACATATAAATAGAAATCTAACATATTTTTTAATGAAATTTGAATCTGGGTCATTTGAACCTGAAATCCAAACCTTTCATGAAACAAGATCTTGGAAAAACTTTTAGAAAATTAAAAAACAAACAAAACCCTGCTTTTCCTCTTGTAACAGGGTTGTAAACTTAAAGAGCTTCACCAGGGTTGTCTGTTAGTGAAAT